TAATATTATAAAATAAAAACTCACCACTATATACAAGTATGTTTGCTATATTTTGTTATATTTGTTAAATAAGGGGAAGAATAGAACAAATTAACAGATTTTATGTATTAGATGTAGTAATAATGACTTAGGAATGGTATCCTGCATTATTAAATGCAATTTATTAATAACAGCTAAATATGTATAGTTTCGCGTAAATATATCAGAACATTTTGAATGCAGTATTCTTACTGTCGCCTTGTATACTGGCAGGGTTTCAACATAACGCTAGTTGAAGCTCATATAAAATTTACCCACAACCGCTATTGACATTATAAAGCCATTTTCTACCATGCTGGCAATAGTGCTGTTGTGTTCTACTTGTATTTACCTAATTACTCGTCATACCAGTGCTAATGCATGAGATTAACAATTAATTTTGTATATAAGCGATGATATTACAGCGATCATTACGTAAAGCAGGTTGTTATTTGATACTTAGTCTTAGGAAGTCAGATAAGTCAAGACGGAAGGAGTAGTAAAGATATTAAGCAGATGATAGCGCATGAACGAGTCGCCTTCAGTACAAAGAAGTCACATCTATGCCCGCGAAAACGATTAAATTAGATATTCGAAACAGGTTGTTAAAGGTGTATTTTGGAGCGCGGCGCTGTAAGGGTGCGATACATGGACAGTGGACGCAGCGGAAAAGAAAAGGTTAGAAGTGTTTGAAATACGCTGTCACCGGCGAATGATGACCATACCGTGGATAGAGAAGTAGAGAAGGTTAGAAATGAAGAGGTATTAGAAAGAATAGGAGAACAGAGGACTCTATGGAAATCAATTAAAAATAGACGAGACATGTTGGTAGGACGCCTTCTCAGGCATAAAGGTCTAGTCAGAGACATATTAGAGGCAGAAACAGGAGTTAAGAGGAGTAGAGGTAGAGCTAGATTAGATTACTGTTCGCAAATAGTTAAGGATGTGGGANGTTGGTAGGACGCCTTCTCAGGCATAAAGGTCTAGTCAGAGACATATTAGAGGCAGAAACAGGAGTTAAGAGGAGTAGAGGTAGAGCTAGATTAGATTACTGTTCACAAATAGTTAAGCATGTGGGATGTTTTAGTTTTAGGGAAATGCGAAGATTAGCTCAGAATAGGAAAGAGTGGAGGTGCGTGTCCGCCCACTTCCTACACCACCCTGTTTCATGCAGTCCTAACAGAATATATATGTTACAATATATTCTTTTAGTAAAACAGTTGTAAAGCCAGACTAATCTTTCTAACCTGCCCATCTGCCCGCCTGCCTGCCCGTCTGTCCGTCTGCTCGCCTGCCTGGCCTTCGGTCTGCCTTGAAAATCAAGGTCAAATTTAAGATCACCAGTTTATTTTGCTTTCAAATGACTACAAATTCTGTCTGAAACTTTTTACGAAATTATCAGATCAATTCAAACTATTTCATTGTCCCAATCCAAAAACCTCGCCTATATTATGCTATTACTACTCTTACAGGCAAAAATGAGCTACTTTTTTTTTATATAATTCCTGAATCCGCAGCGAAATGGGGATTCTGTAATACAAATTATGTGGAAAATTTGATGAGATACAGGAACTCTGTAAATTGTAAAAACGTTTAGCGTGTAACACGTCCCTACATATATTTACTTACTATAGCGAAGCGGTATCAATGCAAAGGTGTTTTGAATTGCCACTTTTAGTTTACTACATAAAAATTATTTATGGAAGCTTTTACCGGATACGACAAAAAACTTTACCAATAATCATAACTCTGCATCAATAACCTTTTTATGGAGGCAGCTATACGAGAAAGAAAACTTTTCTGGTCGAGAAATTTTTATTGGAAACTTTATTAAGAACAGTTACAACTCTCGAAAAACTTTTTCATGTTTAAAGTTGAAATTTTGGATGGATTTAATAATTAAGCAGAAATGTAGGACTTTCGTTGAACGTTTCGCTACTTCATATGCAACTTCCTCAACAACTACAGGCTGCAAATAAAGTTGTAAAACGTTTATGTCACTCAATTATTCGTCGACTGTGAACCAATTTTAGTGATTGTTTTTGATATCAAATAAGATATATCTCAAAGACCTTCCCATTTAAATTGGAAGAATGTATTTTCCACATCTATAAATGTGGAAATTAAAGGATGGCACTTCTAAATTTTATACTTTAACTTTGTTGACAGCACCTTTGTTTAACTACCGTATAAAACCATACAACGCTTTAATTTTTAAGTTCATCATATGTAAGTAAAGTAGGGTAAGGTTGCTCAAGTCGTACCACGGCCTAAGTCGTACCCCGCCAATATCATGTATGATATTTATAAATTTCGCCATTTAGTACTGTAGCGAGCACGAGTGTGTTTGTGTGCGATCGGCACACGTGTACGTGAACGGCTTATCGATTCGCGACTAGCCACGGGCGCCTTTCTTCATGTGCGCCGTATTTGTAAATGTGTGTGTCGTACCTGCATTCTGACAAAAGCAGTTAAACAGTTCAACGAAAAAAGAAACTATCCGGACGTTTCGAGAAGGTTCCGGAAAGTAAATAAAAGAGTATTTAAAGGAAGAGACGATCGCCGAGGGAAGTAGAAATTAATTGACCTTTGCAGAAGTGATTGGCCCGAAACTGGAGACTTCTGGAGTGGGGACTTTAGAGTAATACATACAGGATCTGTAGAAGGTAATTCAGGTGTAGGAATTGTAATGCGTAGGAAAGTAGGGCAGAGTGTAGAAAGTTATTTACAAAAAAGCGATAGGATAGTAATGGTTAAATTAAACTCAAAGCCGGTAAGAACGGTATTAGTGCAGGTCTACATGCCTACATCATCTTACAGTGATGAAGACGTAGAAGCAGTTTATGCAGATATAGAAGACGTGTTAAGTTTAGTGAAAGGACAGGACAACCTAATAGTTTTAGGAGATTTCAACGCAGTAATAGGTGAAGGTAAAGTGGGTGCAATAGCAGGTTCTTTTGGATTAGGCAATAGAAATGATAGGGGAGATAGGCTGATAGAATTTTGCGATAAACATAACTTAACCGTCGCGAATACTTTATTCAACCATCACGTTAGGAGGCGCTATACGTGGAAGATGCCAGGTGATTTAGGGAGATATCAGTTAGATTACATACTTGTTAGGCAAAGATTTAAA